AAAGAAACTTAATCAGTCAGGATCACATATACTAAATCCTTAATTATTCCCAATATCACATGTTTAGTGTCTGTCTTAACCAAAGATAAAGAGTATTAAAACCAGGTTAATAAAGGATATACATTTTTTTTGAAACAACAAAACACAGTAGGTCAACCGATCTGTTTAAAACTGTAATAAATTAAATTGAGGATTGAAAATGGTTAACTTAGAAAAATACGTTAGGATCTTTAAAATTATGTTAGATTAAAAGATTAACTGTATATCTTTTTTCTTAAAATGCAAGTTATACCAAAATTTTATTAAAACAAATTTGAAAACAATCCACGTATTTTCCAAATGAACTACCATAGTTTTTATCTTGATATCATCAAAGTTCGGATTAAGAATAATAATAAATAAAAAGAAATACCCAAAATAACTACAAACTAAGCCGCCAACAAATTCTTTGGGAAATCAGTTGATTAAATTACAGGGAAAAACAATATTATTCCATAGCTGTATAGATAGCTGTATAATTAACATATGCATATATCACATATTATTGATGATAATGGAGATATTTCAGATAGTTTTATCAGACAAAAGCTAAAGAAAAAAAAAAGATTGGATTGCCGAATTCTTAAATAAAAAAATCTATACGAAAGAATGGGTTAATATATTACCAGAAAACAGTTCAATAATAGATAAAGTACTAACAAATAATGAACTGTACATATATGAAAAATGTAATTGCAAACTCAATCTACATATATTAGAAACAAGTAAAATTTATTAAAATATTAATGAAACAAGATAAAGAAATACCAATTGGCTTTTACTAGTGGAAGAGACTACTGAATTTTGAAAACATGGAGAAGTTCAAGATATGCTAAAATTTGTTCATTTTTATTTGAAAGAAAATATATTAAAAATGTTCAGATGGAAATCGTACATTAGTTTCTTCTAGACACCATTAATTAAGAAATGGAAAATGCGTCCTGACTCATACTGTAACCCCTATAACATTACTGAACATGCCACTTTCTAAATAAGTTCAGGAAAGACACATCTCATCTGTTAGAAGAGATTAAACTTGGCAAACCCATTTTAAGTTTGAAAAATTTGATTTATGGTTTCAAAATAAATTATCAACAATACTTTGATATTAATTATTTATTCACAGTGATTATCTTTTCAATACATCATTTGCCGTGGCGGATCCAGGATATGGCGTACAGGGCGTATCCCCTGACCAAAAATGAAATTAAAAATTTAAGGTTTCTCAGTATTTGTATATTTTTTTATCATAAAATCGTTCCCAAAAGATTCGTCTCCCTCTGCTCGGCAGTATCTATCACATTTTTGGGAATTATGCTCCCTTTCAAAAATCCTGGATCCGTTCTTGATTTGACTGAATTTAGGACAAAGAATATTATTTTTTTGTCGTATTTAAAAGTTTAGAAATGTGTTAATTCTACAAAACAAATCTTTCAACACTAAAAGAAAATAAATATTAGAAAAGATATAAAGGTGTAAATCACTTATTTGATTTGTCAGTACTGCATACTTATAATGTATTAATTAATTTATTATTCAATTTTGTTTATTTATTTAACTTACATGTACATACACATTGCAACATTTATATTATCTGGCATGATGTATTAACTGTACTAGGACACACCACATATCTTTACGGTTACAGTATGGCTATAAATCTTTCAAATTATAACTGACCTACCTGAATAATAATCTAGATAAAGTATACAATCTATTTGAAAAAAAAACGTCAACCAAAAACACTCTTATTCCACATTATTTGATATAGTTTTGTTTTGTTCGTATAAAGAAGGTGTAGAATCAAGGCCTCCTTGTCTGAAAAGTGAAGTCATTCCTTCGATAGTTTTATTTACGCCATTGATTTGAATTACCGTTATGGAATATATGTGTAACACATGGCCACTGATGAGTAACACTATTTTCCTCGATTGTAACATCATCGAATGCGACTTGTATCATAATTTTACTTCTAATGAGTGTCATGACAGGTGCCACAAGTTGAGCGGAAATTTCCTATCCTCCATGACCATATGAGATCGACAAAGGTAGTTGTTGGATCATGTTAAACAATATTCAGCGTTCAAATGTTTTGTTGACTTGTTTCTCTGTTCTTTAGTCTGTAGTTTTGTCTACCTGTCTTTTGCCTATATTTCTTGTTTTAAAAACTGAACAGCCATATTTCTAAAACAATCTAGTTATGGGAATATGAGAAAGTCTATAACCCCAGCTCACTAACAAGAGTCTGGTGGATATATATTCCCATGATAGGTATTATAAAAGTCCTGAATTAATCATATAGCGGTATATTGATTTTTCTTGTTTACGTAATAACCTTGACTGCATTTAGGACAGTCTGTCTGGTAAACACTTGTTATCAAAGTGGCCTCTGATCTGTTCTCTTCCTATGTTTAACCACGAGATGTCGACAGCCTTCATCAGAACACGATTTGTAAAGACCTTGAACTCAGGGAAGTTTGAACAGTTCAGTCTTCTACGATGAAGTAAACAAATATGACGCAATTGTGATAGCGAACATTTACTTCTGGCAAATTACAATGTACTCTAAAACAGAATGTCTGAAAATATATATTATAATATTATTTTGTTATTTTTCAATAATCTATTTTGTTGGGGTTATATATAAATTGTTGTTTTGATTTTATATCTATATTCATATTTTTGGAAATTCTAATTTAATCCTATTTTCATTTTGAATCATATTTCTGTTGTTAATAAACATACTTTTTATAATTTTGTTAAGCTTACAGATGTAATTTGACTAATACTTTTGATAAACTATAATTAACAAGTTTTTATTTCTAATTATCACATAAAGACAACAGTATAATATATCAAATGGTATTTATGATTGATATTGACGAGTAATAACATCCCCTTACTTTCCAAATTGCATTGTGGTTGAGCAGTTGATAAGTCCTTTCAAACACGTTTAAGTCTCTTAAAAAGCCTAGGACAGGTCTCGTCCAACTGAATACCCCCTGCCCAAAATAACTGCCGTTTTAACTGCCATAAAACATAGTTTGAGCATTGGTTTATTATTTCATGAAATTTCCAAATTATCTTTAGATGAACGTACTAATTAGTTTCATACTTGCTAAATGAATACATTTGTAAATCGAGCCCCTTTTTATTCTTTATTGTATATGCTATGTTTTAAGAATAGTGTTTTCAAAAAGGTTCAAAAATAGAAAGATAAGTTTTCAATTATACACACGATGTTTGAAAAACCCATACAATGATTGCATAATAAAAAAACTATTTACAAAAATACGGAACTCCAAGTTAAAACAAAAAGGGGAAGCCCCAAAAAATTGACAACATCAAACGTTAGACTTCATCAATGAACGGAACGAATAGAAAACAACTGTCATATTCCTGACTAGGTGCAGTAATGGTGATTTAAACATGGTTTTAAAGCTAGCAAAACTTCCCACTTGTTTGACAGTTGTTAATAGTTCTGTTACATTGAAAAAATCGGGCGAGAAACCCAAACCGACAATGGGTTAATGTGACAATAATTATATTCAGCAGCCAATAATTTGCATCCATACATTAAAAGGCTTTTTGTTTTAAACTTTTGAAAATGTTGAGAATTAATAAGCTTTAGTTTGTTATCAGGTATGTTTGTTAATGTCACCACATGTGTGCATGATAAAATCTCCTAAACATGTCAAATACATTAACAAGAGCATTAAACACGTTTTCTTAAAATACTGGGCATGCATAGACCGTACCTAATATTTCCTCCTACCTAATGAAATAAAAAGTCAACCATATTGAAATAAGTATATTTACTAAAATCTACATATATACCCAGTTGCAGCTATACGTCTGCTTGAAACCAATAAAAGAGTCATCAGTAGGAACAGACGTTCAAATCTCGTTAACATATACGAATAAACAAACTTGAAGAGAATACCCAAAAGAATCGTAACGAAGCGGAATAACATCTCCTGATATGCATGCATTACCAAATTTGGTAATCCAAACAGTTTGACTTTCTAGATCGTTCCAACATATTTGCATTGGTGTGGGTAGATATGTTGGATCGATATAAACATACGTAAACCTGTTTCGATTGAACACAGTGGATTTGCATAATGTCAACAGTCTTCACTTAGGCTCATCATGTACGTATACCGGTGTCTATGTAAATTTGTTTGATGTGGCAAACAGCAATATATACAAATAAACGATGCATTAAATGTACGTGTTAATAAAGCATTATCAAATTGGTTTAATGCTTTCGTTTCGTGCTTTGAAAAGTACTTTATTTGAACCTTCATGTTGTTTTTAAACGTAAATGCACTGATAAATATCATTTCAAGCCATTGGAATTGGTTAATGCACTCGGTAGAACCTGTACCGCACTCGAAAAAACCATCACTGCTCTCGAAAAAACCCGGTCATATAAAAATTAATTTATTTTCAAGATGTCCTTCTCAATGTAATACCAAAAAAATGTGTAAAATGTCTATACATTAAGGATAAATAAATTCCATGTATTCATTTCCTTTCACATTTGCATTGGTGTGTTCAAACATAATTTTATTCTATGTTTTGGAATAAAAGCATTGTGAGGCTGCATTAAATTTTTTAGTACAAAATAATGTAGGGTTGATAATATGTTTTTATCACACATAATAACTTACCTTGTATGATATCGTATATTAAGTTCAAGCATGCATTTCATATATTACCAGAAAGGACGTCTGTTTGTTTACATTTTTTATCATATTCACTCTGAAAAAACGTGGTCACACTCGAAACTACTCGATCATATCACTCGAAAAACATGATCCCAGCCGGATGCTTTACCTTCTTTGTTACTAGTTAGAGATTTCTGATCTCTTTTATCTATACTGAAATAATTTACGAACGTGGACGAATTTCAATGGTGAACACTTTAGTTGATTGTTGATTGATATGTATTGGGTCCTTCATCTGATAATTTTATTTTTAATCATCTGACAATTATATTTTTTTACTACAGACTGTGTGAATAAGGTCTTGCTGCAATCTTCAAATGAACATGAACGAAATATATTGAAGTAGTACGTTCTCTTTTTAACGTTTCGTTATTATTGATAAATTTATGATGCTTAATCATTGATATATATTTTTTTTTGTGTGTATTAAAAACGAGAATAACACGAGGTATGTCATGATAATCCAAGATATATTCCTTTATTTAAAAACATATTTATCAGACCATGATCCCCGAGTAACATGTATAAGACAAGCTAGACATCAGATACACAGTACACCATTGCATAATTCATTTGTGAGCATAAAAACCAAATAAGTTTACAAACATTACAAAAAACAACTATATAAACACAGTTTTCACTGAGAGAATCTGTACTTTTGTTTAATTAGTTACATAACTATTGTCGTTGATTTCGTAATTACTACGAACCGCCATGAGATTATACTCGGTAACACAAATTTTACCAGTAGAAATTGAAAGCTTTATAATTAAAGCTTCTAATTTGAATGTACTTGTTACTTTCAAAAATAACCATTGTATGTTTGCGATGAAAGTAATAGAAGCCATACGCACTAGCCCAGTAGTCAGTACGTCTGTTTTGACATGAATTATCATTGATATGGTCATAATTATAAATTTTGAATCACCATTGCTCTTAAACTTCGTACTTTATTTGGCCCTTTTAACTTTTTTAATTCGATCGTTACTGATTAGTTTTTTGTGGACGAAACGGGAGTCTGGCGTTAACTAATGTTAAGCCTAGTACCTTTGATAAGTTTATTCATAAATCATTTAAAGGCATAGGAAAAAATAGGTTAAGAACAGGAGCCTACGCAAAGCCAATTTTTTTAAGTTTCAAGTACAATTACCTGATTCTCTGATTTAGCAAGTCAAAAGCACGATTAATACCGACTAAACTATTCGACAAACACATTTCGTGTAAACATCAGAAAAGGTTTTTTTATACACTTTTAAACGTCTTGCTTTTTACTTCAACAACAAATTGATTGACTCAACTTTTTTAATTTTTTTTATGGTTTTTTATTTCAAATTTATAGACCACTTCCTCACCACCAAATGACTCCTCAGAAACCGACTTGCAAACAAACACACAAAATAATAAGTAACATTTGGTCCAGATAATCGAAATAATTCATGAACTTGTAATAATGTAAATGACGTTTGTCGCTGTCTGACATATTTGGTTTTTGGTTTATTGTTTGTGCATACATAATGCCGTTGGTTTTATCGTTTGAATTGTTTTATATTTCGTCATGTTGGAACTTTATATAGCTTTATATGGTTTTAAATGGGTTTAATTTTGCCCAGCATTGATGGTTATCATAACTTGTTAACATCAACGCCATTTCGTCTGTGGTAGACAGTTGTCCTATAGGCAATCATATCACATCCAATTTTTCACGGTACACATACAATTTATATAACATGTTTAATATTAAAGTTATTTTTATCAAGGGAAGGTAAATTAAATGCATTAAATATTCCAGTCATTTACTTCCGACTTTTATAATTATTTCATATACAAGTATCGCCTTTAACCGGAACAACTAATACACGCATTATGCCTGACCATGTTGGCCTTGAAATTTATGCATTTCCACAAACAAATTGAAATTCGTCAATCAATAACAGGATGTATTTTTTTTAACAGCAAACGATTGGTTAATACAGACATATGCCGCTTGGTTGAAAATTCGTTCAATCTTATAAATACTACATGTGCACATCAAAGTTGTTCATATCTTATTTCAACGAGCGCATCAGAGAAAGCAGGATGGCTCATAATTACCAGGTAAGATTTCAATGCACTTTTATGCATACAGTTATTAGCCTTTTCTTTAATTATTGTGCATATTTATCATGTTTACGATTATGGTTGTTCAGTAAATCATTTTACATATTTGTTCGGATATTTTCAAAATTAACAACCAAATAAATTCAAAACATAAAGGGATTTAAACATATGATTTAATTTTTGTTAACAAAACTGTTTTTGTGGCCTCTAATTAACAATCGGTCAAAGTGTTGTTTAAATTTACTTTGAATTTGTTGTAATATTCTTTGACTTTTCCTGTTGCCTGTAACGCGTGTTTATATGGATATACCATTGTTCAAGAACAAAAATAGGCCTGAATCAGTTAGAATGACAATTGATCCAAAGCTAACTAAAATGGTTTTGAAGTTATACTTAAAAACAGAAATATATATATTTCTATTGTATGTTTATATAATAATTTCAATATTAGGGCTTAACAATAAATACAAACTGATAAATAATGCTAGAAAGCAGTGATCGGAAATAAAATATAATGAATGCGGTTGGTTGAGAAATGAAATAGTTTTATGAAAAGTATAAATTAATGCATTTTAAAAGAATGAGATCATAATTTTAATTGGACGACAATCTAAGTTTGACAGTCAAATGATGTGGTAATAAAGTGTATATTGACACGATCGAGTCTTGCTAATCATTGAAATAAATAAGAACAAAATATGTCTGACTCAACTATGCATATGACTTCAAATAATAGTATTCACATATATATTTTACGTAAATTTATTATTTACAGCTATGTTTGATAGTTTTGATTGTGGTATTCCTATCTCAAAGTGCTTGCTTTGCACAGTTCGTACCAGGACCAGACACATCAGAACAATTTTTTGTAATTGAAGGCCTTGGAGATGGAGGTAAATGAATGTTGATTTGATACATGATTGTGAACATTGAATATTACACATTCATGTGAAATATGATAAATATGATTATCAATAGTATGATGTTTTATCCTCGTCTTTTATGAAGATTATATGAGTCCGTTCAAAGACTGCTTAACACAATTTGCTGTGAGAAATAAGGCAACTTTCATGCCTTTCACGCATAAAATATGATTGTTTTTAAACGTTAACACATTTTATTATATAATACTTGATTTAAAAAAATTGTAAGCAGCTTAGGGACGCATGATAAATACAAATGGATGCTATTTTATGTTTTGATATTTTAAAATATTTTGAAATTACAATATTTTGTTTTTATTTTTCTAAACGTTTCCTTTCTCACTGTAATAAAAAATTGAAATAATTAAATATATATATATGATAATACATTCTTCATGACTAGAAGAATATAATGTTTTTATTATATCAGTTGTTTCCGTTTTTTTTTTTTTGTATACGCATTAATCGTATTACTATCTACATAATGATAAGAATCTAACCTAATATCCTTTTTAAGGCAAATACAGTTCTAAACAACAGCGATTAATCGTATTATACAGCTTTTCCGTTTCCTTCATTTTCCCAGTTTGCACCAGAAGTTAGTACCAAATTGAACAATCGTACTTTAGCTGTTGTTTCGAAATTTACCCTTTATAGGATTCTAAACAAAAACTATTTACCATAAGATATATTCCACTATTTGCCAGATGTTGCTTGTATTAAAACCTTTTTGTTATACATGTACCAATTTTGTCACGTGCTGACGAACGATAAGTTTTATGTTTAAATATATCTCATTTAAAAGTCTTTGTTTGAAATACATAGTGATAAATAAACACGAATAGTGTGCAGTGATCACATCGATATGTTTATGTCGGAAGTTATACGGTTACTTTTTTGACATCGTGGAGTAATTAATGCATGGAGTTGTAAATCAATGTTTGTTTACACAGTTTTAGCTGCTACATCCCAATTATTGTCAAGTTTACCAATTATGTCTGTTTAGGTTGTTTATCCAATTTTAACAATGTGACGGAACTATAAACAACTGTACTGTAAGTGAGAGGTTTAGCTAGCTATCAAACCAGGTGAAACCCTCCATTGTTTCTTTAGAAAAAGCTTGTACCAAGTTAGGAATATGACAGTTGTTTTCCTTTCGTTCCGTTGGTTGATTTAGTCTAGCGTTTGATTCTGACACGTTTTCTGGACTTCCCACTTTTTGAATATAACTTGAAGTTCGGTATTTTTCTTAATACTTCTTTGATATTTACTTGTGTGTGTAACTTCCATTACAATATAAACATCCATGGTTTAAACTGGTTAAGTTAATACTTATAAAGGTTATAAGAATAGGAAATATCCTTTTACGCTTTCCTTTTTTGCTGACATGATTTAATGATAAATGATATGATTATAACTATATATTATTGTTGCTTTTTCAATGAAATCTACACTGAGCTATGCATATCGATATAAGTAAGTTTTATTATTTCTTTCGGGGGTGGTTGGCGGCTTGTTATATCATTTGTATCGAATAAAATTGATAAGCTCTTACCATTTTTTGTATGTTCAGTATCTTTAGTAAATCAACTAATTGGGATTCACAAGGGAAGATAGAGATAAAAGGGGACAGGATTGTAGTTACGCATTCGGAAGATATCCATCGCCATTTGTAAAACAGATATTTCATAACGGTTAATCAACTCGTGATGGCGTGCGTAAAATTTTCGAAAGGATAAAAGTGAGACATGTCAAGTTGGAAGTGTTGCAACCGACTCACATAGACTTGTGATATCAGGATATCTAACACAAAACTTTTTATTAAAAAAATGAGTTAACTAAACAGGACCGCATCTATCTGAATCAACTGATCATGACTTGAGTTTGTTTATGTTCAATACCATCTAAATATCCTCAGCACACATTTCATAACATAAAATCATGATTAATATTTTTTCCTAAGGTTCTCTAGGAGCTGGTGCAGAGACTGGTATAGTAGGTAATACAGGGCCTGATTTATCAGCTTTTTTCCCTCTTTTACTACTTGCACCCTTATTACTTGCGGCAACGGCACCGGCTGCACCAGCAGCGCCAGCACCGGCTGCGGCAGCACCAGCACCAGCACCAGCACCAGCACCAGCACCTGCTGCACCGAGTCCATCAGTAACAACGCCAGTCCTACCCACTAGTAAGTATAGTTTACCACACTTAATTTTACCTGTTCATTGTTGTTTAGCCAGGAAACCTCCTTGAGCAAAATAAAATGAGTAGATAACCTCATAAATAAGCTTACATCGCTGTTTATTGTGAATAGTTGTTTCTTTGGCAATCGTACCACATCTGCTTATTTTATATAAATATATTATATATGTAAGCCTCAAATGTATGTCCAACCTCAAATCTGTGTCCTTTTCTCAGACCTGTGTCCTATTCTATATTGTGTCATAGACGTCACAAATCTGTGTCCTTTCTCAGACCTGTGTCCTATTCTATATTGCGTCAAGGACGTCACAAATCTTTGTCCTTTGTTTCCTCAAATATGTGACTTTTCAAAAAGGTATGCATTGAACTGTTTGTTGACGTAATAATTCTCAAAACGTCTTCAAGGAAATATTTTTGTTGTCAAAGACCGTTAATACAATTTAAATATTCGAAATAAATCGACATGAGTTAAGGCAACTTAAAAGTTTATATGTGTTGAACTATGTACATACAGGGGTATGACAAGGATAAATTATAAAGGATAAGGAATTGAGACCGGAAATAGATTTGACTTTTACATATATAAAAAATTTAAGTACACTGTCCACTTTTGATACACACAGAAGGCCAAGATTAATTTTCCAAAGAAAAAAAAAACATTAGCAAAATTGGTTTAAAAAATAACTATGTGCATAAAATACAAAATTGTTATTTAAACTGTAATATTAACTTCCTTTACGGAGATAGTGAATGTCATAAAAGCGTCTACCTTTTTTTTTATTTTGATTTTTTCTAATGGTTCCCTCTAAAAAAGCTAGTCTAAAAGTGGGGATAAAATTGCGACGTCCTACAATCTTACGAGCTTGCACGTGACAGCGAGGAGTTTAAGAAGAAAAGATGATAATTAAAATAGAATAATTGATAACAAATATGTGTATCAAAAAATAGTATTGAATGTTTTAGTTAAGAACTTTCTGTTTTCCTGTCGATACTTTCGAACAGAAGCCATGAAATGAAGTTTCAGTATTTTTGTGGCTGTTTAAAATATAGTTTTTATAACATTTTTTAAAAGCTAATGGCTTCATTTATTTTTAAAATCCCACCCATTCAATGAACCACTGAAAAAAGATCAATGGACGACGCACGATTGAATGAAATTGTTAATATTGTGGTGTAAAGGGTTGTCTAATATACAGTGTTTACTGAATCGTTTGGAGCCTATTTTTCAAATGATGATTGGTTATTTTATTATCAACATTATTTTCTTCTTTTTTTCAGTTTTTTTTTTATTAAAGTTCTTTAGACACCATATAGGGTTAATTATAATCTGAAGAACATTTTTCTGGTCATCCAATGCAATAATAAGAGATTTTATGTTGATCCAGGAACACAAACTTTAGAAGCATTTCAGAAATATTATTTATTATTTTCATTGAATTTAATCATGACCTACCAATGGTTGTTATCGAAAGAAAACGTGTTGTTGAGCCCAGCTTCATACGATGCCATGACGCCTTTGACATTAAGAAGTTTTAATTTTACTGCACAAATGTGGATTTTGATAAACATTCATTTTGTTTTGTTCCACAAAAATCGAAGGAAGAAAAAAGTCACAACAGGACAAGGAGATTTCTGAATGAGGTAGATAAATCCCTTGGACAAGTTTTATAACCGATAGTTTCATAAAACATCATCCTTATTTTCGTGTAGGTATCGAAGTACTGTTCATGAGCATTTGCGCTGCTAACAAATAATATCCATATTTTCAAGCTAATACCGAAGTTTACTGGCTACTGGTTTTGGTGATACACACGTGACTACCAACTGTAACTCACAATAAAGAAACACAAATGTCTGGATATAATGTACTCTCAAAAATGTTCTGCATAATAACTAACTAATTGCAAAACGATTATTTCAACGCAAACTTTCAAATGAAAACTTTAATCAGAACATCAAAATTAAGGTCTTTACAGCTAATTGTTACGAAACAAGAGTAAACTTTTGTTATAATCGTACATTGTACTTACAATTCTTTTACAAATAAATTTTATATTTTCTTGCAATGTGAGTATATTCCTTTCTCCTTTTTTCTTGCCTTTCTGTTTTCTCTTTTTTTCTTCTCTCCGTTTTTCTTTTTCTTTTCATCTTTTCTTCGTTTTCTTTTTCTTTTTCTTATTATCTTTCTTTTTCTTCCTTTGTGTTCCTTTTCTATGTTTAAATATCAGCTGATTTGTAAACTGAACATATTCATGCGTATAACGTACATCAATTCTACCCCATATTTTGCTGCTCGAGAAGCAATGAATGTATCTTCTATATTTTTATATAAAATTTGCATTCACTTTGGCTACGCTTTTTGCCTTAATAACGTTATGCAACCTTTGACGATGCTCATTCATTCATTCCGTAATAGTGTTTTTCGACATCATTTTAATTGCAATTTTTTAAAAGTTTTAAACAAATGTGTTTTTTTTATACAAATAGCAACATGTGTTCTGCAATGCCCTGCAACGTACATGATGTTAGCCGACACAACGATTAGTCCTAATTGTTACCTTGGTAGTGGAACTAGAACGGTACCTTGGCAAGAAGCTTTGGTGAGTATGCTAATTAATCACTATTTGCAAGGACGAGCAGGTAACCTCGAAAACAAACAGGAATCAAAAACCGTGCTATACATTGAATTGATATGTGAGAAGAATATAATATAATAATAAAAACATTTTTTATGTATTTGTCACCTTAAATTACAGAATTCTTAAAGTCTGACTAAAGTAATGTTATACGTTACCAGTAATTTAGAATTTTGATTGAAGACTGTATTACAAAACTTTGCATTTTACGAAATGCTAAGAAAATTCTACTCCAGGAATATATTACCTTATATGTATTTGACAAAACCCTTTGGAATTTGTGGTCCTCAATCCTCTGCAACTTCTTACTTTATTTTACTTTATTGTTTTTTTTTATCTGAGCGTCACGTATGAGTCTTTTGTAGACGTAATGCGCGAACAACATTGTAATCCCGGTATCTATGATGAGTTTAGTTATCCGATTTTGAATTCGAAGAATGACAAATTTCAATCCCTATCGTATAAGTTGTATCTTAATTCACATTGTATGTGCTGTGTTCATGATAATGTCGCTTGAGTTTTTTTCTATATTAGATTATGTAGTACTTTTGTTTCAAGGGCTGTCAACTTTAGGAAATATAAAGGTTTTTAATTTGTATATTTGAAAAACCCTTGACGCCTTTAAGGATGTTAAGCTTAACCAAAACAATTAGACATGATTTGATCTGATTCATCAATAACATTCATAATTTATAGAATATCTTTTCTGCCAAAAATAGTACAAAATAACTGAATGGTCTTTGACATTATATTTGCACCGGATTGTAGTCCAAATAAAAAAAAATGGGAATATATGTCGTTTAAACAGGAACATATGCAAAATAAATAAAACAAAAATTTCTATTATGTGCTTGAGCTGAAAACAATACTGGCTAGGCATACACGCTGACAATGACAAGTACGTACTTAGTCGAAATGGTATTTATGTCACCCTACAAAATTTCAGGCGAATTGTCTAGAGACACCAGGTGCCTACCTGTGGAGACCAAACACTAGACAAGAAGCCGAAGCAGTTAGAACTAAATTAGGTATAGGTAAGTTGAGAGTGTATTATTAATTCTTTTTTTATTGAAGTTATTCAAACGGAAATAAAGATCGATTATTTTTATCTATGCACCCTATTTACTTGTATTAAGTAATTGTGAAATAATTGATGTGTAAGAGCGCCAAACAGCCATTAGTACGTCATGATACAGAATAGCTTCTATTTTATTTGAGGTATATGTTCATTCATTGTTTTAACATTCGAAAGATAAATGGAACTTGTAAAAACCGTACACTTTACATTTATATAAGATCACATGTCCTATAATGAATCATTGCAATCATTTGCTTAACATTTATGTATAAAATTTAAATAAAATAACTATAGATATTTATTGTGAGCATATCTTATGCATATTTGTAAACAAAATTGTGATATGATAGTAAAGAGATGTTATTGCGGTAATTTGATTCCATAATATACCTTACTGTAAATTTATCTTCTTTGCTTTATGGCAAGACCAGTTACCCTGTTGTTTTATTTATTTTTTAAATGGATATTCAACAATTCAGAAAAAATTTCCAATAGGCCCTCTTGTTTTTTTATGTTTTTTTTTTCTTTTCTAATTTTTCATTAGCAGCAATATCTTACCAAAAAAATTCGAAATTCGAAAACTACACAAGCTTCAAAGATACTGCAGCAGCTGGAGGAAGTTATGTCATCTTTTTCCTTAATATATCATCATAAGAAAGTATTAACAAACAATACCGAGCTGCAAGATAAATTAAAAAAAAGGTGGAAGTTCATAAAAATTGACAAATCAAACGTTAGAGTTTATCAACCAACTTAACGAATGGAAAGCAACTTTCATATTCCTGAATTGGTACAAGCATTTTCCGAAGAAATTGGTGGGTTAATCCTGGTATTATAGCTAGTTAAACCTCCCACTTGTATGACAATTGTTTACACTTCCAAAATGCAAGTGTGTAAGATATTTATAAAATAATATTGAAATGATTTTTAAACTCAATTGTTGAATTTACGCATTGGAACTCCATAAAAAAATATAAGCCGGAAATACATGAAAAGATAAAACCGATTCTTGTATTGAGCTGTAAGTTTGAAAAATTCCTGCCAGTTTGGGCCTGCATTTGCTTTGTTACAATAGCATCATGCAGGCTTTATACTCCATTTATAAGTTAACAAAGTTAAACAAGTTTATGGTTTAAACAATGTTTTTAGACTAAATACACGAGTTGAGATTTTAGAAATGATTACTTCGTCCAAAACCACATATCTGTCGTTTCTTACATGAAATGAATGAGAAAATAGTTTACTATGCAGAGGGTAACTATGTGACCTAAGGTCTTACCATAGACCATATTTTGGTAGACCTCGCATGGAATCAGTCTCATTAATCTGTTCCATGTCTCAACTCTTATGCAGTCATTTTATAAGGGTATTCGGTGCTTGCAAAGTGCTTTTCTGAATTATCTTCACCTAGAATGATGAAAGGTCAAGGATGTGTTTATACTTGATTACAGTAGAAGCATTAGAATAAAAAAGAAACCTATACTGAAAAGCCAATTTTACCTAAGATCAACTTCGCCTGATTGAGTTTGTACTAATTGGATTAGTCTTATAATAATTTCAAAATATCAATGGAGCAAAAATAAGATAGGTATGTTATTAATCTTGTCTGTGCTGAACTCTCGAGCTGATGACATCACTAGTTGTCAACCCAGTGTTAGGTATAACAAAAACAGCTGATGAGTTTGGTGCATCCGAAGCGCCTTCTACATTTACCTTTATGAATTATGTTATGAGGAAGAACACCATCACGAGTTGGTTGGCTGATACGATATGTCTGTGTCTCATATCACTGGCGACATGTTTTCGTAGTCTGAGATCTATAGATACCAGAAACGTCCTCTAATCTGTAATGTTATCTATTGTGTCCTACTTCCGATTTCGACATTTTTACTGAATGTTTGGATTCGCATGGTTGGTGATGCCTGCACAGCAGGAGACGCTTACCAGTTCGATCCACCAAATCTAGCTCCAAGACGATAGAAGTAGTCCTAGAAACTAGAAATCTGAATCAAACGTGTCAAATTCGCTACATTGTATTTTACACCGAACATACAGCGCATATTATATTTTTTCTTTCAATCGCGTGTCCTATTTTGTTAACATTTTCGAGTTACGATTCTGAAAAGTAGGAGATTCAAGATACATTTTTCTTTTTTTTTGGGGGGGGGGAGGGGGGGGTGCCAGTACTAAGTCAGGAATACGGCAGTTGTTTTCATTCGTTTCGTTGGTTGGTACAGTCGAGCATATGATCTTGTAAGGTTTTATGGACTTTTCTTTTTTTTCATTTACTTTGGAGTTCGGTATTTTTGTGCATAATTTTTTTTTAAATAACTGATTTTCTATCAAACCATTTTACATTTGATTTTTCTTGTAGGCGAAGGCATAAATGTGTGGACCGGTGCAAATGATCTGGTAAACGAAGGCGTGTTTTCATTTATTGTAGAAAATAGCGGATTTGTACTCACCGCTCCCCCATTTGGCATGGGTAAATTTAACTATTTTAGATATTTAGCAAAAATACATAAACAACACAGATAATTAATGTGGTATTTTTTTTCAATTTTTTGATGTAGTTGACTTTTGCTGTTATTATGATACCCTACAATTTAGAAACGACGAAAATCGAGAGTAGGGGAAATAAAAAAAATAAATGTGGGATATACGTCAATGAGACAGCAAACAAACAACACAAAAACAATAAAGGAATCTATAAGTCAATTTGTGGTCTCCTACAATAGATAGGTGTCTACAAAAGGTTTAGATTAAAAGAGACTAACAAGGATCTGCCTTCAACACAATTTTGAAAAAAAAACTGAGCATCTGATAAACAGTAAATTTAGAGAATTCTGCCGTATCAAAGATATTACACCTCAAGACAGCAGTGCACAGGACTACTGGAATGATGTCATAATCAGGGTCGAAACTTAAAGGCCTCAATGCGACCTGTTAGAGTTGAATTGATTCACTAAAGACAAATACTTCCATTCATTGCGGAAAAAAAAACAATTGAATACACAGTGCATCTGATATAACGCTAAGGAATAAGTTATTAATTAGAATATATAATTAGCAGCAAAACGATCGTCCATAAGAAGGGGAAAACTATACTGCCAGAATGTGTACTATATTGTTTTGTACCCTTTGTGTTATATAAGATGAAATGTGAAATAAATCGTCGGTTAATTATTTAGCCGGAACGATAGGAACTGCAGCTACTGATGACTGTGTGGCAATAAATAAACCAACCGCAGCAGATTATCAATGGACTGCCTTTCCATGTGAAAACGTTTACACATACGTTTGCGAAGTTCCACCAGTAAGTCTAATACTTCATTTAGCTAATACTTAGGAATAGTCTATTTCTTTAAAAAACGTATTTCGTAAATATAAGAAACTGTTATATTTAAACAAATCTTTTAAGTGCAATTGTAATAACTTCGTTTCAAGTAATCTGATTGCATGTAATACGTTCAATGTCAAATTTTGTGGTATATCAACAGCTTCATGCGAACATGTCGTCATTGCCAAATGACGTCACTTATATTTGATAACTTACTATTTTCTGGAATGAACGAAGTCCTATTTTGCTTTAGGATACCTATTTCTTTCAAAATAATAATAACAAAGAGTGTTTTAATTTGGAATGATACTCTCTGCTCCTTTTCAATATTTTGTAAATTGCTGATTTCACGTCACAAACTTTCATGATATGGTTAGAATTATTGAATGAAGAAAAGCTTCGAAATCTGCGGAAAATGAAAAGCTGAAGACACATAATAGGCATTCAAACTCTATATTTATTTTCGTGTTTCTTTTACTTTATCGTGTTGTGTTTTTCAGAGATGTCCATAGAGAGTATGCTTGCTGCCATCGTAGAATATTGTTGATGATTGGTACAATAAAATTGTAAAAGAAGACTTATCTTTTCTTATAAAAAAAACACCAAAAAGAAGATATCAAGGTGGCATAAAAAAATTGTTAATCGATTAAAACTAACAATACAGGACAAATAAATCGTATAAAAGTGAAGCACAAGAAATCGTATAAAAGTGAAGCACAAGTCCACAGAAAACTAAGCAGACAAACAAAAAAATGAGCATCGCGAACCCCACCGCCCCTCCTCCCTCTCAAAAAAAATATAAATATATAACAAAAAACAGAAACAAAAACAATACAAGACAAAAAACGAACGAAAACGAGAACAAAAACCAATTTATACTGCTTATAGTAATAATTTAAGCACTTAACTGATAACCAATGATCTTGGTGTTATTGTGATAATAATTTATTCGTCAGATATCCTTTTTTAACTTTTTATTAGGTAGTGATTATTGGAAAAGACAAAAAATGCAAGCTGATGGAACTAAGGGTCGTTTTCTGATCCCCAAGGAAAACTGTATCTTACCATGACTTACAATTTATCATTTATCAGAGCCTATCAGAGTTAGAAAATTAAAACAATACTTTATAAATTTAATGCGCCCAAAGCGCTTTTCAGGATTTTCCTTCATCAGTAACGCTCAAAGCCGAAGACTTGAAAGTCAAATATGTATAAGAATCGAAACATCGAGGAGCTATATGACCAAGAATGACCTAAAAATAATAGCCAAAATAATTTTTAAATTAAGAACTAAGTTTAAGTTCTTGTGTCTGTCAAAACAATATTCCACATATATGACGCTAGTGCAAATGTTGATTCCATACAAAGGCATTTTGCTGGAATTGACCTAGATCTGCAACGTTTGACAGGTATCACATTCTACGATATCAATTCTAGCAATAAGCTTTGATAACTGTTTGTTTTACCTACTTTTGTTAGGATTGAAATTCTGCCATCATTTCTTAAGGTTTTTTTTGCTTTTTTCGTTATATAAGCAAGTAAGCGTGTAACAGTTATTTGGAGATTTTAGTTTTTTAATATGTTTTTCATGGTTTTTCCTGATTTCCCTATATATAAAAATAAGGAGATGTGGTATGATTGATTCCAATGCCCAGACAGTGGAAGCCATCGCTGGGTAGACATGCCTGCATTAATGAATGTGGCGTCATTTTCCTGTGTTGTTGAGAATTTTCGACATTATCTGTTGTTACGGAATATGTGATTTACTGTTGTTGCGCCATCCCCATATTACGGAAATATTTATGTACTAATAACAAAAATAAACAATTGTCATTGTGTTTTCAAAGTATACGTTCTTCTATCTTTGGTGCTAAATATATTTATATTTTGTCTATGTCTAAATAGTTTTGTTCTATTGTTCAACCTTCAAAAAGTAATTAAAGCATCTTTATTTGATAAATTCTTCAAAATAATGATTCTTCAGGACTCACTTATCATTGTCAACTTAAATGGTAGCTGCCTAATTGTGAACTTTCAATTTCTATGAAGCAGCATTTCTACAGTTACTGCATGTGGAGTATATATGTAGGACTCGGGGATGCGATTGGTACGCTGAAGTGCAATGGTCTTTCTAAGGTGCGATGATCTGCGCCGAAGTGCGAAGGTTCTTTTGCTGGTGTGCGATGGTCTATATTACTTTTTTTCTTCGTTATAACTAATAAATTTCATTTTACATTTAAAACAAATCCCACGTTGTTTTAGTCATTGCAATAAATGCTGGTTTTAACTGAAAATAACCCTTGTGTGTAGCGTTTATAGTGGTCAATTTCATATCATATGAACAACTGTTTATTTTTGTGTAAGCTATTTAAAAAGTACACGACAACGTTACAGTTACGAATGCAATGGCTATTTATCATGATGGATTTCAAAAAAACGTGTTATACTCTCGATGATTTATTTAAAAAATTAACAGCTTATTCTAACAAACAAGTTGACTTCTACATCGACATTCATCTCACTTCGGCGTAGCTACCAACAAGATAACTTCGAAAGTTTTAAATATGTTATCAAGAGTTGGTTGACCGTTGTAGAATATATGTTCCGAATCATCGAGATCATTCACGGTTTTTGGTGGGGATCGTGGTGCTCAGTCTTTAGCTTACTTTGCTGTGTTTTGTAAACTGTTGTTCGTTTTTTTGTTGTTTTTTGTTTTTTTGCTAAGGCATTGTAAGTTTGTTTTCGACTTATGAGTTTGAGTACCTTTTTGATATCTGTAGCCTCTCTTTTACACATATAACAACCGATATGTTTCAATTGTCGTAATACTATCCCAATTGTTCTTTTCCTTGTATAAGACTTCACTGAATGATACTTATTACCTGATTCGTTTTGACGCGAGCAACACAACGGATACCACATTTGGGAGCAGAATCTGCTGAGAGTTTTTTGTTGGGTTCGTATTGGTCAGTCTTTATTGTTCTATCTTTGAAGTGCTTTGTTGACAGTTGTTTGTCTTTTCGTCGTTTTTAGTTATTTGTAAAAGAGTTGTAAGTTTCTCTTTGCAATTTTAATGTCCCTTTGGTATTTTCCACCGATTTTAAGCTCCAACGGACAAGGAGAAATCACACACATGACTGCAAAAGCTCAATATAGCACAAAACACTATGGCGTACACGTGGCTACCCTCAACTATTCATTGATGTCATTAATTTTTTTTTTGCAAAAAAAACTTAAAAATAAATTAGAATCAAATGTTTCCTCAAATATCTAATGCCCTTTTTATAATATGCTAAATTTATTAGTGTTGCTTATTATATGTTATTCTAACCGTCATTGATTCAATGTTAATAAGCAATTTCAGCAGTCATGTTTCTGGTACTCTCTTAATCATGGCATGTTTTTTTCCAACAAAGCAAAATATTTCATCAAAACGTTGTTGTTAAAGTCTAATTGCACAATATCAGATAAAAAATCGTCTCTTATTAATTGCAATTTATCCAAATGGAGACATTGTTTGTTTACACCAGATTTACATTATATATTTCAAATTCCTTTCTATGTTCGTATGTTCGGAATTCTATGCGACTGTCATACAAGTGAGAGGTTCAGCTAGCTATTAGACCGGGGTTAATCCATAATTTTCTACATAAGGAAATGCCTGTACCAAGTCAGGAATATGACAGTTGTTTTCCATTCGTTTGATGTGTTTGAGCTTTTAATTTATGCCATTTGATAATAGAAAATAAACAAACATAAATAAATAAGATGATAATGGCATAGGATGATTATGATAGCTACTATACTATTTTTACCCGACCTTGATCAGATACAGATTATAATAAACTGTAAGGTACTAGGTATTTTCAAACAGTATTTTTCAGAAAAAGTCGAAATATTTATTGCAGACTCGCATTTAGCTACGTTTCAGAATGTTTTATGAGTTCTCGGGAAATCAGAAGTTCTTCATTGAATATTCGATTGAGCAAAAAATCTGAGAACTAATCTAGTTTGTATTGGATACCTTATCTTCATAAAACTCCATACAAACAACGGGAAATTGACCAAGGGATTGTTCGATAGATTGACTAAAAATGTAATCCGCAGTGAAAGAGGGATTGCAAAAATACTGGGATTCTGTTCACACGCGTGGTGGCATTAACCATATGTGAAATCTTAAGAGCTCTAAAGAACTTCTTGATAATTTTAAATCTCGGTACTTCTCTGAAATAATGTTTATCAAAACGTTTGATTATTCCACCCTTTACACAACTATACCACATGAAAATTTTAAAATCCGTTTAAAAGAAATAATCCACGATACTTTTCTCCATACAGAAGGTACGATACCTCTCAAAATAGGATACAATTCGGCAAATTTTGTTAAAAATAAACACGAGGATAAAACAACTTACACCGATTGCCAGATTGCCAATGAGACAAATAACACAGAAATTACATATATTGAATGTCTATTTATTGAATTGTCTATTATGTGAAATAAGTTTAAACCAGTTCTCACTTTTTTCAAGTCTTTAACAAGCTCAAGCAGTTGTTACCAGATTCAAGGGTTGAAGTTTTCTGTTTAGATTTTGAGTCAGGTATATATTTTTTTTATTATAAAGTAGAAATTAACTTATTGTATTATCTTACTATTAAAATGATAATTAAAAAAAATCTATAAATGTATTATTTTACTTTTTTTCTTTTTTTTTTTTATTACATTGACGTATTTGTAAATGAAGCAATTATATACTTTTATTATTATTAAAATAAATTAAACAATGAGTAGCTCAAACTATGAAATCTTAAAATATATCTATTCACTGTTAATCACCTAGAATTGGTCGTGCTACATACGGGTTGTGGTATATGTAATTAAAACAAATATATGTACATATATAGTCTTTATAATAAACGTCACATGTCTATGTATTGCATATTTTATTGTTTATAATAATATTGTTTGTATACTACATGCCCTCCTGGGGCCGTAATTTGGTGAATAAAAATATCTATCTATCTATTCACTTTTATTATATATTACTTTATTCTAACAGGAGCATGGTCAGCTATAAAGACGGTATTCCCGACAGCAAAAAAATCAAGGGTTGCTCGTTCCACTGGACCCAGGCCGTCATGAGGAAGGTAGCAACACTTGGTTTAAAGTGCCAGTATAACCAGAAACAGGCCACTCACCTTTTCATCAGGAAACTACTTGCATTACCCTTCCTGCCTGCAGACCACATCAGGCCAGCATTTCTCCAACTGGTAGAATCCACCACCAATGCCACGCAACAACTAAACGAGTTGATGACATACCTTCTTTGTAGGACGTGGTTCTCCAGTACTGTGTGGAGCGTACGTCAGTGGTCAGTCTATCGCCAGTCCGTGAGAACCAACAATGATGTTGAAAGTAATTTAAAATACTATAATTTGATTTACATTTACAATAATTGATCAGAAGAAATCATTACTAATCAACAGCGTATAACAAATTAAAATATTATTATAGAAAACAAAAGAAGATCCTTAATTTGTGTAACGGCTGGTTTATTAGATGTCATTTATCTGTATGATATATAGATGTAAAATTCCGTATTAAATATGTATTTAAGTTCTGCTATGTGTATATACTGCAACTTTTTAACATTTCTTTTCTTATCCTGCAGGATGGCATAGACGCTGCAACGGCAAAGCTGGACGGGCCCACCTTCACTTCTATAGGATAGTTCCTGCCTTCCGTAAAGAAGCCAAGACAGTAAAGCTAACCCACAGACTCGTTAGTAGGCAGCAAGTGACCCGGTACCAACGAGAGACCTATCGCCAGATGCAGGGTAAACTGGTTGACTTATGGGACCGGCTAGACGCCAACACACTGAAGACCTCAGAGTTCCTCAAACGGATTGGGTATATGTACGCACCACCTGTTCCTGGTCCAGCAGACATACCAGACTCCGACTATTCTGACTCCGACTCCGACTTCGAGTGAATGATAACTTAACTTGTGTTTGTGTACTTTGTGTTTGACAATCATTATACTATGTCAACTGATTTTTTTGGTTTGTATATGTACTCTGTATTGTGTGCTATGTATATCTTTCTGTATGTTTCAGTGCTTGATATTGCTAATCATGTAATCTAGTGCTTTATCTGATTTGAATGCAATTAAAAATTGTTCTTGCTATGTATTGTTAATTGATGATCAGAGTGACCAATAAAGATATGAAATATTTGTATAGTCTTTATTTATTAATTTTGATTTCTTTATCAATCCTTTTCATCATGTTTATCAGTACTGCAATCAAGATGTCGAAAAACTACTAGTAATGCAATACCACACGTCTACAGGACACATAAAAAAAAAGAAAAAAACAAACAAACAAACAAACAAAAAATTATATTTTCCTTACACTGCATGTTCTCCTTCAATTACCTTTATTACGAAAGTCTTATCAAATAGGATAAAGAAATGGCTACTTCCCACTTAGTTCTTTATATGAAAAGAAAATAGTATAATGAACCGAAACAACCAAGGCCGAAACAACCAAGGCCGAACAGGTGTATGGCCGAAACGACATACGGCCGAACGGGTTCATGGCCTAAACGTCTCGAAAGCAAATGTTTGCGGTCTGGACAATGTTCATGTTAGACAACGGATTTCTTGAAATGTTCAGTGTTTGTGACTGTGAGGAAACTATTGTTCTCGACGTACATGTAGTGTTGTTTGGATTAACTGTCGGAACAGATACAGACTGAGAGGTAAGTGCATTTAGGTTCATCATAACAAATGGACAAATATGGCCGTATTTTCACCTCAAAAACTACTCTGTGTACAGACTTACCTGTGCAGTTTGGAAAGTTTTAAGGCCTGGCATCCACTAGATATATAAAAGTTAAATCTATTTTGCATATCAGAAAGATAAAATCTTTTTTTGAATATGATGGGCATTTTTTTTCCTTCCTGCAGAAGGTGCAAAAATAAACAAACACCTGAATTGCATTTGATACTGTCCACTCAGTTACTACCTTTAACTCACCTATAGATGTGTAGATATCTATTGTCCATGCCAATCAAGGACAATCAATACAATACAAATCAGTTGTTACCTGAGATGGAGCATCTCAAAGTTATATCCCAACTTAGTTTATTTTTACACCTTCAGCAGGAACGGAAAAAAATGCCCATCATAATCCAAAAAAGATTTTATATTTCTGATATGCAAAATAAATTTAACTTTTATACATCTAGTGGATGCCAGGCCTTAAAACTTTCCAAACTGAACAGGTAAGCCTGTACACAGAGTAGTTTTTGAGGTGAAAATACGGCCATATTTGTCCATTTGTTATGATGAACCTTAAAATCAGTATTATCCTGTACCAGACTCAAGCTAGCGACCAATTCTAGCGACCAATCAAGCTAGCGACCAATTCTAGCGACCACTAAAGAACACAATGAGAATCAACTTGTCTAAGAATCTTTTTGTGGTATATGAGAAAACCACAAAACCACATTATGAAACAACGTTCTGTTAAAAAGAAAATCTATCTACCAGTACGGTATATATATTGTTTTTTAACGTTTAAATGACCAGAAATGTCCATCAAATTAAGGGAGAAGGGAAACTACAATACGAATGACGTCTGTAGCTGAATGTACTGACTAGTTTGGTTGCTAAATGTCTGCATCAATATCAATGAGTAAAATACAACATGCCAGAAAATCGTAAAAGTCAAAACAATTTAATACAATAGAAAAACAAAGGATATGGGGTATCCCTCCATGACACAAAATCAGTAAATGCACAGCGAAAAACACACAAAAAGCTAAGGAATATTCTTTGTTAACGAACTATTTTTATTCCCCTACATTCGAACACATACTATATGTTATCATATATGTATTTATACAAATAAAGGTGCGCCCCTCTCCGGAGTTTATTCTATTGGGAGAGGGACTAGTTGGGAAATAAAGTAATCCATATCTTAACGTCTTCTTTACGATTTCTCTGTTTTCCAAACTCTAAACCGAGATCGCAAAGATAAATCAATTATTGTAAACAAAATATTAAAAACGGAGCGTATATCCCCCAAGCACATAATGGCTATACAATAGCACTTTGCGGTTTAGAAATCAGAATAAAAAGCTAAAGAGTTTTTAGAATTTGAATAATAAAAAAAAACAAGAGTGTTTGTTTATGATTATTTGCTCGCACAATCGTGTTCAATATTCAATGAACCGTAAATAATTTAAAAAGTACATATTTTAATGAACATGTGTACCTAGTTTCAAGTTGATCTGACTACAACGTCATCTTAGACTAGATTCAACACTAACGTCATTCTAATGCAGTATGAATGGACGGACAAACGGACAAACGAATTAACGAACGAACGAACAAAAAAAAACCAGATAATATTATGGGCTTTACTGTCGTAGGCGGAGCATAGAATAACTATGTAATGTGAGTTCACTTAAACTTGTTCCTTTGTACAATGTATCAGCTTTCAAATAAACGAAATAAGAAAAATATTATGTGCGAAAGAATAACTATATACTGGCTTTCCATACACTCGGCATCCTCAAATATCCTTTATTTTCTAGAAAAGGAACTTTTAATGTCTATTCCCCATGCTGAAATTGAAAACATACAAAATAACAAACTGTAAGAGTACATTTCATGCCCACAAACAATATTTTGAATTGAAAGTATACGTGTACTATTTTGTATGGCATGCATCCTTACTTAAAAGAAATGTAAAGATTTTTTTGTTTAAAAAAAACCCGTACACTTCGAATGTCAACTTTGAACCCCTTCAATTCCCAGAAGGTCCTAACCCCCAAAAAATCATTTAAGTGGGTCCTGCTCTGATTCATTACCTTTCATTTGAGCTATGTCCAGTGTCGAACTTTCCCGTACGGAGCTGGCGAGACTTGCCGAAAGAATGTACGGTGGACACGTAAAAAAAAAAGAATACCAACTTTGAACCCCTTCAATTCCCAGAAGGTCCTAACCCCCAAAAAATCATTTAAGTGGGTCCTGCTCTGATTCATTACCTTTCATTTGAGCTATGTCCGGTGTCGAACTTTGCCGTACGGAGCTGGCGAGACTTGCCGAAAGAATGTACGGTGGACACGTAAAAAAAAAAAGAATACCAACTTTGAACCCCTTCAATTCCCAGAAGGTCCTAACCCCCAAAAAATCATTTAAGTGGGTCCTGCTCTGATTCATTACCTTTCATTTGAGCTATGTCCGATGTCGAATTTAGCCGAACGGAGCTGGCGAGACTTGCTGAAAGAATGTACGGTGGACACGTAAAAAAAAAATACCAACTTTGAACCCCTTCAATTCCCAGAAGGTCCTAACCCCCAAAAAATCATTTAAGTGGGTCCTGCTCTGATTCATTACCTTTCATTTGAGCTATACCCGATGTCGAACTTTGCCGTACGGAGCTGGCGAGACTTGCCGAAAGAATGTACGGTGGACACGTAAAAAAAAAAACCAATTTTGAACCCCTTCAATTCCCAGAAGGTCCTAACCCCCAAAAAATCATTTAAGTGGGTCCTGCTCTGATTCATTACCTTTCATTTGAGCTATGTCCGGTGTCGAACTTTGCCGTACGGAGCTGGCGAGACTTGCCGAAAGAATGTACGGTGGACACGTAAAAAAAAAAGAATACCAACTTTGAACCCCTTCAATTCCCAGAAGGTCCTAAACCCCAAAAAATCATTTAAGTGGGTCCTGCTCTGATTCATTACCTTTCATTTGAGCTATGTCCGGTGTCGAACTTTGCCGTACGGAGCTGGCGAGACTTGCCGAAAGAATGTACGGTGGACACGTAAAAAAAAAAGAATACCAACTTTGAACCCCTTCCATTCCCAGAAGGTCCTAACCCCCAAAAAATCATTTAAGTGGGTCCTGCTTTGATTCATTACCTTTCATTTGAGCTAGTCCGATGTCGAATTTAGCCGAACGGAGCTGGCGAGACTTGCCGAAAGAATGTACGGTGGACACGTAAAAAAAAAAATACCAACTTTGAACCCCTTCAATTCCCAGAAGGTCCTAACCCCCAAAAAATCATTTAAGTGGGTCCTGCTCTGATTCATTACCTTTCATTTGAGCTATACCCGATGTCGAACTTTGCCGTTCGGAGCTGGCGAGACTTGCCGAAAGAATGTACGGTGGACACGTAAAAAAAAAAACCAATTTTGAACCCCTTCAATTCCCAGAAGGTCCTAACCCCCAAAAAATCATTTAAGTGGGTCCTACTCTGATTTATTACCTTTCATTTGAGCTATGTCCGGTGTCGAACTTTGCCGTACGGAGCTGGCGAGACTTGCCGAAAGAATGTACGGTGGACACGTAAAAAAAAAAAGAATACCAACTTTGAACCTCTTCAATTCCCAGAAGGTCCTAACCCCCAAAAAATCATTTAAGTGGGTCCTGCTCTGATTCATTACCTTTCATTTGAGCTATGTCCGATGTCGAATTTAGCCGAACGGAGCTGGCGAGACTTGCCGAAAGAATGTACGGTGGACACGTAAAAAAAAAATACCAACTTTGAACCCCTTCAATTCCCAGAAGGTCCTAACCCCCAAAAAATCATTTAAGTGGGTCCTGCTCTGATTCATTACCTTTCATTTGAGCTATGTCCGATGTCGAACTTTGCCGTACGGAGCTGGCGAGACTTGCCGAAAGAATGTACGGTGGACACGTAAAAAAAAAAAAACCAATTTTGAACCCCTTCAATTCCCAGAAGGTCCTAACCCCCAAAAAATCATTTAAGTGGGTCCTGCTCTGATTCATTACCTTTCATTTGAGCTATGTCCGGTGTCGAACTTTGCCGTACGGAGCTGGCGAGACTTGCCGAAAGAATGTACGGTGGACACGTAAAAAAAAAAGAATACCAACTTTGAACCCCTTCAATTCCCAGAAGGTCCTAACCCCCAAAAAATCATTTAAGTGGGTCCTGCTCTGATTCATTACCTTTCATTTGAGCTATGTCCGGTGTCGAACTTTGCCGTACGGAGCTGGCGAGACTTGCCGAAAGAATGTACGGTGGACACGTAAAAAAAAAAAGAATACCAACTTTGAACCCCTTCAATTCCCAGAAGGTCCTAACCCCCAAAAAATCATCTAAGTGGGTCCTGCTCTGATTCATTACCTTTCATTTGAGCTATGTCCGATGTCGAATTTAGCCGAACGGAGCTGGCGAGACTTGCCGAAAGAATGTACGGTGGACACGTAAAAAAAAAAATACCAACTTTGAACCCCTTCAATTCCCAGAAGGTCCTAACCCCCAAAAAATCATTTAAGTGGGTCCTGCTCTGATTCATTACCTTTCATTTGAGCTATGTCCGATGTCGAACTTTGCCGTACGGAGCTGGCGAGACTTGCCGAAAGAATGTACGGTGGACACGTAAAAAAAAAAAGAATACCAACTTTGAACCCCTTCAATTCCCAGAAGGTCCTAAACCCCAAAAAATCATTTAAGTGGGTCCTGCTCTGATTCATTACCTTTCATTTGAGCTATGTCCGGTTTCGAACTTTGCCGTACGGAGCTGGCGAGACTTGCCGAAAGAATGTACGGTGGACACGTAAAAAAAAAAAGAATACCAACTTTGAACCCCTTCAATTCCCAGAAGGTCCTAACCCCCAAAAAATCATTTAAGTGGGTCCTGCTCTGATTCATTACCTTTCATTTGAGCTATGTCAGATGTCGAATTTAGCCGAACGGAGCTGGCGAGACTTGCCGAAAGAATGTACGGTGGACACGTAAAAAAAAAAATACCAACTTTAAACCCCTTCAATTCCCAGAAGGTCCTAACCCCCAGAAAATCATTTAAGTGGGTCCTGCTCTGATTCATTACCTTTCATTTGAGCTATGTCCGATGTCGAACTTTGCCGTACGGAGCTGGCGAGACTTGCCGAAAGAATGTACGGTGGACACGTAAAAAAAAAAAAACCAATTTTGAACCCCTTCAATTCCCAGAAGGTCCTAACCCCCAAAAAATCATTTAAGTGGGTCCTGCTCTGATTCATTACCTTTCATTTGAGCTATGTCCGGTGTCGAACTTTGTCGTACGGAGCTGGCGAAACTTGCCAAAAGAATGTACGGTGGACACGTAAAAAAAAAAAGAATACCAACTTTGAACCCCTTCAATTCCCAGAAGGTCCTAACCCCCAAAAAATCATTTAAGTGGGTCCTGCTCTGATTCATTACCTTTCATTTGAGCTATGTCCGGTGTCGAACTTTGCCGTATGGAGCTGGCGAGACTTGCCGAAAGAATGTACGGTGGACACGTAAAAAAAAAAAGAATACCAACTTTGAACCCCTTCAATTCCCAGAAGGTCCTAACCCCCAAAAAATCATTTAAGTGGGTCCTGCTCTGATTCATTACCTTTCATTTGAGCTATGTCCGATGTCGAATTTAGCCGAACGGAGCTGGCAAGACTTGCCGAAAGAATGTACGGTGGACACGTAAAAAAAAAAATACCAACTTTGAACCCCTTCAATTCCCAGAAGGTCCTAACCCCCAAAAAATCATTTAAGTGGGTCCTGCTCTGATTCATTACCTTTCATTTGAGCTATGTCCGATGTCGAACTTTGCCGTACGGAGCTGGCGAGACTTGCCGAAAGAATGTACGGTGGACACGTAAAAAAAAAAAGAATACCAACTTTGAACCCCTTCAATTCCCAGAAGGTCCTAACCCCCAAAAAATCATTTAAGTGGGTCCTGCTCTGATTCATTACCTTTCATTTGAGCTATGTCCGATGTCGAATTTAGCCGAATGGAGCTGGCAAGACTTGCCGAAAGAATGTACGGTGGACACGTAAAAAAAAAATATCAACTTTGAACCCCTTCAATTCCCAGAAGGTCCTAATCCCCAAAAAATCATTTAAGTGGGTCCTGCTCTGATTCATTACCTTTCATTTGAGCTATGTCCGATGTCGAACTTTGCCGTACGGAGCTGGCGAGACTTGCCGAAAGAATGTACGGTGGACACGTAAAAAAAAAAAACCAATTTTGAACCCCTTCAATTCCCAGAAGGTCCTAACCCCCAAAAAATCATTTAAGTAGGTCCTGCTCTGATTCATTACCTTTCATTTGAGCTATGTCCGGTGTCGAACTTTGCCGTACGGAGCTGGCGAGACTTGCCGAAAGAATGTACGGTGGACACGTAAAAAAAAAAGAATACCAACTTTGAACCCCTTCAATTCCCAGAAGGTCCTAACCCCCAAAAAATCATTTAAGTGGGTCCTGCTCTGATTCATTACCTTTCATTTGAGCTATGTCCGATGTCGAATTTAGCCGAACGGAGCTGGCGAGACTTGCCGAAAGAATGTACGGTGGACACGTAAAAAAAAAACCCAACTTTAAACCCCTTCAATTCCCAGAAGGTCCTAACCCCCAAAAAATCATTTAAGTGGGTCCTGCTCTGATTCATTACCTTTCATTTGAGCTATGTCCGATGTCGAATTAAGCCGAACGGAGCTGGCGAGACTTGCCGAAAGAATGTACGGTGGACACGTAAAAAAAAAAATGCCAACTTTGAACCCCTTCTATTCCCAGAAGGTCCTAACCCCCAAAAAATCATTTAAGTGGGTCCTGCTCTGATTCATTACCTTTCATTTGAGCTATGTCCGATGTCGAATTTAGCCGAACGGAGCTGGCAAGACTTGCCGAAAGAATGTACGGTGGACACGTAAAAAAAAAAAGAATACCAACTTTGAACCCCTTCAATTCCCAGAAGGTCCTAACCCCCAAAAAATCATTTAAGTAGGTCCTGCTCTGATTCATTACCTTTCATTTGAGCTATGTCCGGTGTCGAACTTTGCCGTACGGAGCTGGCGAGACTTGCCGAAAGAATGTACGGTGGACACGTAAAAAAAAAAGAATACCAACTTTGAACCCCTTCAATTCCCAGAAGGTCCTAACCCCCAAAAAATCATTTAAGTGGGTCCTGCTCTGATTCATTACCTTTCATTTGAGCTATGTCCGATGTCGAATTTAGCCGAACGGAGCTGGCGAGACTTGCCGAAAGAATGTACGGTGGACACGTAAAAAAAAAAATACCAACTTTGAACCCCTTCAATTCCCAGAAGGTCCTAAACCCCAAAAAATCATTTAAGTGGGTCCTGCTCTGATTCATTACCTTTCATTTGAGCTATGTCCGATGTCGAACTTTGCCGTACGGAGCTGGCGAGACTTGCCGAAAGAATGTACGGTGGACACGTATAAAAAAAAAAACCAATTTTGAACCCCTTCAATTCCCAGAAGGTCCTAACCCCCAAAAAATCATTTAAGTGGGTCCTGCTCTGATTCATTACCTTTCATTTGAGCTATGTCCGGTGTCGAACTTTGCCGTACGGAGCTGGCGAGACTTGCCGAAAGAATGTACGGTGGACACGTAAAAAAAAAAAATACCAACTTTGAACCCCTTCAATTCCCAGAAGGTCCTAACCCCCAAAAAATCATTTAAGTGGGTCCTGCTCTGATTCATTACCTTTTATTTGAGCTATGTCCGGTGTCGCACTTCGCAAAGTTATGACCTTCTGGGAATTGAAGGGGTACATTCTTTCGGCAAGTCTTGCCAGCTCCGTACGGCAAAGTTCGACACCGGACATAGCTCAAATGAAAGGTAATGAATCAGAGCAGGACCCACTTAAATGATTTTTTGGGGGTTAGGACCTTCTGGGAATTGAAGGGGTTCAAAGTTGGTATTATTTTTGTTTTTACGTGTCCACCGTACATTCTTTCGGCAAGTCTCGCCAGCTCTGTACGGCAAAGTTCGACACTGGACATAGCTCAAATGAAAGGTAATGAATCAGAGCAGGACCCACTTAAATGATTTTTTGGGGGTTAGGACCTTCTAGGAATTGAAGGGATTCAAAGTTGGTATTATTTTTTTTTTACGTGTCCACCGTACATTCTTTCGGCAAGTCTCGCCAGCTCCGTACGGCAAAATTCGACACCGGACATAGCTCAAATGAAAGGTAATGAATCAGAGCAGGACCCACTTAAATGATTTTTTGGGGGTTAGGACCTTCTGGGAATTGAAGGGGTTCAAAGTTGGTATTATTTTTGTTTTTACGTGTCCACCGTACATTCTTTCGGCAAGTCTCGCCAGCTCTGTACGGCAAAGTTCGACACTGGACATAGCTCAAATGAAAGGTAATGAATCAGAGCAGGACCCACTTAAATGATTTTTTGGGGGTTAGGACCTTCTAGGAATTGAAGGGATTCAAAGTTGGTATTATTTTTTTTTTACGTGTCCACCGTACATTCTTTCGGCAAGTCTCGCCAGCTCCGTACGGCAAAGTTCGACACCGGACATAGCTCAAATGAAAGGTAATGAATCAGAGCAGGACCCACTTAAATGATTTTTTGGGGGTTAGGACCTTCTGGGAATTGAAGGGGTTCAAAGTTGGTATTATTTTTGTTTTTACGTGTCCACCGTACATTCTTTCGGCAAGTCTCGCCAGCTCTGTACGGCAAAGTTCGACACTGGACATAGCTCAAATGAAAGGTAATGAATCAGAGCAGGACCCACTTAAATGATTTTTTGGGGGTTAGGACCTTCTGGGAATTGAAGGGATTCAAAGTTGGTATAATTTTTTTTTTACGTGTCCACCGTACATTCTTTCGGCAAGTCTCGCCAGCTCCGTACGGCAAAGTTCGACACCGGACATAGCTCAAATGAAAGGTAATGAATCAGAGCAGGACCCACTTAAATGATTTTTTGGGGGTTAGGACCTTCTGGGAATTGAAGGGGTTCAAAGTTGGTATTATTTTTGTTTTTACGTGTCCACCGTACATTCTTTCGGCAAGTCTCGCCAGCTCTGTACGGCAAAGTTCGACACTGGACATAGCTCAAAGAAAGGTAATGAATCAGAGCAGGACCCACTTAAATGATTTTTTGGGGGTTAGGACCTTCTAGGAATTGAAGGGATTCAAAGTTGGTATTATTTTTTTTTTACGTGTCCACCGTACATTCTTTCGGCAAGTCTCGCCAGCTCCGTACGGCAAAATTCGACACCGGACATAGCTCAAATGAAAGGTAATGAATTAGAGCAGGACCCACTTAAATGATTTTTTGGGGGTTAGGACCTTCTGGGAATTGAAGGGGTTCAAAGTTGGTATTATTTTTGTTTTTACGTGTCCACCGTACATTCTTTCGGCAAGTCTCGCCAGCTCTGTACGGCAAAGTTCGACACTGGACATAGCTCAAATGAAAGGTAATGAATCAGAGCAGGACCCACTTAAATGATTTTTTGGGGGTTAGGACCTTCTAGGAATTGAAGGGATTCAAAGTTGGTATAATTTTTTTTTTACGTGTCCACCGTACATTCTTTCGGCAAGTTTCGCCAGCTCCGTACGGCAAAGTTCGACACCGGACATAGCTCAAATGAAAGGTAATGAATCAGAGCAGGACCCACTTAAATGATTTTTTGGGGGTTAGGACCTTCTGGGAATTGAAGGGGTTCAAAGTTGGTATTATTTTTGTTTTTACGTGTCCACCGTACATTCTTTCGGCAAGTCTCGCCAGCTCTGTACGGCAAAGTTCGACACTGGACATAGCTCAAATGAAAGGTAATGAATCAGAGCAGGACCCACTTAAATGATTTTTTGGGGGTTAGGACCTTCTAGGAATTGAAGGGATTCAAAGTTGGTATTATTTTTTTTTTACGTGTCCACCGTACATTCTTTCGGCAAGTCTCGCCAGCTCCGTACGGCAAAGTTCGACACCGGACATAGCTCAAATGAAAGGTAATGAATCAGAGCAGGACCCACTTAAATGATTTTTTGGGGGTTAGGACCTTCTGGGAATTGAAGGGGTTCAAAGTTGGTATTATTTTTGTTTTTACGTGTCCACCGTACATTCTTTCGGCAAGTCTCGCCAGCTCTGTACGGCAAAGTTCGACACTGGACATAGCTCAAATGAAAGGTAATGAATCAGAGCAGGACCCACTTAAATGATTTTTTGGGGGTTAGGACCTTCTAGGAATTGAAGGGATTCAAAGTTGGTATTATTTTTTTTTTACGTGTCCACCGTACATTCTTTCGGCAAGTCTCGCCAGCTCCGTACGGCAAAGTTCGACACCGGACATAGCTCAAATGAAAGGTAATGAATCAGAGCAGGACCCACTTAAATGATTTTTTGGGGGTTAGGACCTTCTGGGAATTGAAGGGGTTCAAAGTTGGTATTATTTTTGTTTTTACGTGTCCACCGTACATTCTTTCGGCAAGTCTCGCCAGCTCTGTACGGCAAAGTTCGACACTGGACATAGCTCAAATGAAAGGTAATGAATCAGAGCAGGACCCACTTAAATGATTTTTTGGGGGTTAGGACCTTCTAGGAATTGAAGGGATTCAAAGTTGGTATTATTTTTTTTTTACGTGTCCACCGTACATTCTTTCGGCAAGTCTCGCCAGCTCCGTACGGCAAAGTTCGACACCGGACATAGCTCAAATGAAAGGTAATGAATCAGAGCAGGACCCACTTAAATGATTTTTTGGGGGTTAGGACCTTCTGGGAATTGAAGGGGTTCAAAGTTGGTATTATTTTTGTTTTTACGTGTCCACCGTACATTCTTTCGGCAAGTCTCGCCAGCTCTGTACGGCAAAGTTCGACACTGGACATAGCTCAAATGAAAGGTAATGAATCAGAACAGGACCCACTTAAATGATTTTTTGGGGGTTAGGACCTTCTAGGAATTGAAGGGATTCAAAGTTGGTATTATTTTTTTTTTACGTGTCCACCGTACATTCTTTCGGCAAGTCTCGCCAGCTCCGTACGGCAAAGTTCGACACCGGACATAGCTCAAATGAAAGGTAATGAATCAGAGCAGGACCCACTTAAATGATTTTTTGGGGGTTAGGACCTTCTGGGAATTGAAGGGGTTCAAAGTTGGTATTATTTTTGTTTTTACGTGTCCACCGTACATTCTTTCGGCAAGTCTCGCCAGCTCTGTACGGCAAAGTTCGACACTGGACATAGCTCAAATGAAAGGTAATGAATCAGAGCAGGACCCACTTAAATGATTTTTTGGGGGTTAGGACCTTCTAGGAATTGAAGGGATTCAAAGTTGGTATTATTTTTTTTTTACGTGTCCACCGTACATTCTTTCGGCAAGTCTCGCCAGCTCCGTACGGCAAAGTTCGACACCGGACATAGCTCAAATGAAAGGTAATGAATCAGAGCAGGACCCACTTAAATGATTTTTTGGGGGTTAGGACCTTCTGGGAATTGAAGGGGTTCAAAGTTGGTATTATTTTTGTTTTTACGTGTCCACCGTACATTCTTTCGGCAAGTCTCGCCAGCTCTGTACGGCAAAGTTCGACACTGGACATAGCTCAAATGAAAGGTAATGAATCAGAGCAGGACCCACTTAAATGATTTTTTGGGGGTTAGGACCTTCTAGGAATTGAAGGGATTCAAAGTTGGTATTATTTTTTTTTTACGTGTCCACCGTACATTCTTTCGGCAAGTCTCGCCAGCTCCGTACGGCAAAGTTCGACACCGGACATAGCTCAAATGAAAGGTAATGAATCAGAGCAGGACCCACTTAAATGATTTTTTGGGGGTTAGGACCTTCTGGGAATTGAAGGGGTTCAAAGTTGGTATTATTTTTGTTTTTACGTGTCCACCGTACATTCTTTCGGCAAGTCTCGCCAGCTCTGTACGGCAAAGTTCGACACTGGACATAGCTCAAATGAAAGGTAATGAATCAGAGCAGGACCCACTTAAATGATTTTTTGGGGGTTAGGACCTTCTAGGAATTGAAGGGATTCAAAGTTGGTATTATTTTTTTTTTACGTGTCCACCGTACATTCTTTCGGCAAGTCTCGCCAGCTCCGTACGGCAAAGTTCGACACCGGACATAGCTCAAATGAAAGGTAATGAATCAGAGCAGGACCCACTTAAATGATTTTTTGGAGGTTAGGACCTTCTGGGAATTGAAGGGGTTCAAAGTTGGTATTATTTTTGTTTTTACGTGTCCACCGTACATTCTTTCGGCAAGTCTCGCCAGCTCTGTACGGCAAAGTTCGACACTGGACATAGCTCAAATGAAAGGTAATGAATCAGAGCAGGACCCACTTAAATGATTTTTTGGGGGTTAGGACCTTCTAGGAATTGAAGGGATTCAAAGTTGGTATTATTTTTTTTTACGTGTCCACCGTACATTCTTTCGGCAAGTCTCGCCAGCTCCGTACGGCAAAGTTCGACACCGGACATAGCTCAAATGAAAGGTAAT